GTCCTTATTCCTAGTTTCAATGCCCTAATAATGATTAGTGGGACATTTGAATTACTAGGACCACCGATGCCCTTAGGGATTGTTACAAAAATCAGTTTCCTTTGCCTGGGAATACATAATACCCAGACTGTTCAGCGGACTGCAGAAGTTCAAAGACTTTTCGTTCATATGGTCCCATGCTGACACGAGCAGGTGCTCTGCCAGGCGCGCCCCCCCCCGACGCTCTCCAGAGCAGACAGAGGCAACGTGCTCCCCAGAGCGGGAACCAAGCCCCGGGGACCTTCTGAGGGTCCCTGCAATTGTCCAGCAAGTCCACGGGGACCGGCACTGGGACTGGAGCACGGCCTCGGGTTCCTGCCATGCGTGCACCCCGGAAGGTCCTTGTTTAAAGACATAATCCCGACCACTTGCCTTGACCCTTGCCTAGGAGTGATACAAACAAGTTCAGGATGTTCCGAGCAGGAAGCAGGGTCAGAAGCATGCACTTCCTCCCCAGCTTTCTCTAGGCTTCTCTTTTTCTTTTCTCCTCGCCTGCCCGGGATGTCTGTGCTGCTCCATGAGAGGAGCGGGTTCCTGCCCCATGGGCTGGCTCTCCCTGACCCTGGGAGCATGTATGCTCCCCACTTTGAGGAGGCCTCATCGATGGGGACACCCCGGCTGTGGTTTCCTGCACCCCCTTCTCAGGTGGGTGGGCCAGGCCTGCGGGCTGGCTGCTTGGAGCCCAGGGAGGGATGGGCGCTCAGCCCCTGACTGGCCTCACTAGCCATAGGGGCTTACTCACCCTTTCCGAGCATTAGGCTCCGTGTCCACATAAAGGGATAATTCCTGCCTTGGACGTGGATTTTATAAACTTTAAAGGGGAAATCTCTGTCGATACCTAGCACCTTTCTAGATATATAGATGGTGCTTTCTCTTTGGTACTTAGTAATTTTCAGAGCCAGAGTCGGAACACGGGTCTCTGACTTCAAGACGGAGCTGGCCTGGTAAATGTGGGGCAAATCTGGCACAGCACGCGCTGAGCCGGATGTGATGAGCAGATCCAGACTCGCCCCACCTGGAGTCTGGCTTCGGAAGGGAGGAGGCTGACGTGGCAGGTGGGTCAGCTCCGGGGCGGCCGACTGTCCGCAGCATGTCTGGTGCACTTTCCCCTGCACTCCCGGGTCCACTGGGTATCTGCGCAGCCCCCGAGGCCTTGGGGGGAGGGAGGACGAAAGAGGTGAACGCCAGGAAGGGCATTAATTGACGAGATCGAACCCTTCCAGTAGGGGGGTCAGGCTGGAAGTAGGGTCCCTGCCACCGGGGGAGGGGGGTGGGTCACAGGGGTGAGGTGAGAGTCGCAGTGTAGGGCTGTGGCCTGGAGGGAGGTAAGAATGGAACAGGGCTTCAGAGGTGGTTTAGCATCAGGAGCTTGAGGTGGTGACCTCTGTCCCCCGTAAGGGCTGAGCTAGCAGCAGCTCAGGTCTCCGGAGGCACATCCGCGCCCTCCCTCACCCCCGCCAGGGACTGAGGTATCGGAATTTACAAAGCCTGTTTCCCCATGGATACCTCGTCTGACATCCACTTAATCCTGGCGAGGGAGGCAGAGCGGGGCTGTTGTTCCCTTAAAGATGGGCACACTGAAGCTCCGAGGGGTTAATGGTGTGACTGCCCCTTTCCCTCTCAGACTGAGTGTCTGCTGGGGGGCCGCTGCTAGTCTCAGTGCTGGAGAAACAGCAGTCAGCACGGGTGATGTTCTCTGCATACAGAGCGACCTCAGCTGCCTGCTCCCGAGCTCCTGGAGGTGGGAATGCGGCGACCAAGGGAATGATACAGAGTATGAATGCATGACCATACAAATACAGATGCATAGTAGTACGGGTGGCCGCGAAGGGCAGGAGAGGACTGGGCGTGGGGTGCCCCCCTGAATAGGATGGTCAGGCAAGGACCCTTTAGTGAAGCTCATTTGAGCAGAGACCTGAAAGAAGCGAGCGGGAATGAGCCATCCACGTATCTGGGGGAAGACATTCTGGGCAGAGGCTGGGAGAGAACCGGCACGGAGGCCCCAGGGAGGACTGTGGTGGGTGGTCGGTGTGTTTGAGGATCAGGGAAGGGCTGGAGCAGAGAGGAAGTGGGGCTGCAGGTGTGGTCAGGAGGCCCGGGGCTCACCCTGCAGCCGCAGGGAAGATGTTAGCCCCACGTGCATGAGCTGGTGGGCTGTGGCGAGGAGCCCAGCTCCAAACCAGATTCCACGTCTGGTGCTCCTTCCCCCGGACTGTCCCCTGTCCCACAGCTAGTTACAGTTGCCACAGCTAAAGTTATCCCTGTCGCTGTCCTGCTGCCATGACAGTGACCTTGGAGGCCAGGAAGCTGGCCAGCTCCTGAGACCGCTGCCGGTGAGGGTCGGGCAAAGGAGGCTGTTGAGAGGACCCGCTTGGCCCCATTGTGTGCGCCCCCTCTCCTCCGCCCTCTTGGGTTTCCCTGACTCACCTCCAATTAGAACATCTAGGGAAGCTGGTGTGGGTCCACCCCACCTACTGCCTTTGATTAGAAAGAGCAACAGGAAGAACAGGGTTTGCTTTCCATCAGCCCAGTTCCAGATGAGCATATCTAGACCCTTCCTGCATCTGTAGATCGTTAGCTGAAGGGGGAGGAGAAGAACGTGTGTGCTACAGGTTATAGTAGAATTTGGGTGAGCGAGTAAAGAAGACATGTTGCTATATATTACAGAATCCCAGAATGTTAAAACTGGCAGAGACTTTCAGACTGTCTTGTCCAGATGGATGCCCAACAGTGGGAATGTACTTAATGCCTCTGAAGTGTACAGTTAAAAATGGATAAAATGATAAATTTTATATATATGGTACCATCATACAAAATAAAATTAAAAAGAAGACAGCCTTGTCCAACGCTCCTCTTTAAGTCTGAGAAACAGAGAGGTTGAGTGACCTCCCCACAGCCACACAACAGATGAGAGATGTAGTCTGGCCTGGAATCTGCTCTTGGAGCTCCCTGCCCAGCACCTTTTCCAGAGACTACCACCATTTATTGCTCATTGGCAGAAATGAATACAAGGGAGTAGTTACTCCTTAGTCTTTGAAACTTCTGTAGTCCAAATATGAGATCTCAGAATCAACCCAGGCTTTCGTCCGGTTTTCTTGTTATAGAGAGCTAACTTGATTAACTTGAACCTCACCTTCCTTCTGTGGCTCCCTGAGTAGCCGTGGTGGTTGCTCTTTTCAGAGCAGGCTGAGACTAAGGCTAAGGCCTGTAGCCCGAAGGAGGAGGAGGAAAGCAGCGTATGGACCTGAGTCACAAGCTCTGATTTAGGCCAGTGGCCCCAGTGTGGTTTCTCCAAGCACTTTCCTGTTCTCCCCCCATTGGAGCCTCGTCACCCCTCGGGACAACAGGGTACAAACTATGATGTGCACTTTTGAGACAAAGGAACCCACTGGTGTGAATAATCGTGACCTTGTAGGCCCTTGCAGGCACCATCTGTGAGGCCCTGACCCCTCACTCCAGCCCCTCCTCCCTTGGCCCAGGTCACCTTTGTGGCAAGCCTTCATTTGTGGGGTGGAATGGGACTGAGTCTATGGGGTTTAACAGCTCCGAGAACTCTGCTGTTAGAGCGTCCTGGCCAGGAGAACAGGAAGAGGATTTCCATTTTAAGCCCTGGAAGGTCGCAATACCTAGTTTTCCACTCAAGGAATGGCAGAACAGGGAAACAGGATTCTTGGGAGTCCCCCTGAGCGAAGGAAGTCTAGAAGATTCTGGCACCAGGTGGGGGACAGCTGTCAGTCTTGAGCAAGTCATTTTGTGTGCTGGTCCTCAGCTTTCTTCGCTGCAAATTAGTATAGTTAATTTTAAGAATTTAACTTATCTCCAAAAGTATTTACCAAGCGCTTATTTTATGCCCAATGGTCGTGTCAAGCTCTACTGTATAAAGAAGGGTGCTGGGCCCCAGGGACTCAGAATTCAATGTGGGATTTCTCCGCCTCTGTTCCTGAGTGCAGCCAGGAGGCATCCTGGAACCTGCCAGCCAGCTCCGTCGTCCTTAAAAGGCAAGGGGAAGATTGACACACACACCCCTGCACACATGTGAGAAATCAGACGCCCATATGTGCATGTGTGTACGTGGTGGCACAGGTAGAAGATAGAGGTAACTAAGTCAGATAAGCATCAGGTCAAGGGCCAGCCCCTGGGAGTGTGATGGGCCAGACAGGAGTCAAGTTCAATGGTAAATCTTGGAAAGAAGATGGGCTTGCTATGAAGATGTCAGCCTCGGAAGGGCTTATGGCAGTGCATACCTGCTCGAACATTCCCCAGCTCTGCCTGTGTCCTAAAGGAAGGCAGCTTGGTAGTGGGGAAGGAGCAGCAGGTTGACTTCCTTAAGGAAGGTGTGGGACCAAGTCTTCTCTGTTTCCCAGCTAAAAGGCATTAGACAGATTACTCAAACTCCTTGAGCCTTGATGTTTTTATCTGGAAAATGGAATCATCAAATCTTCCACGTCTAACAAAAGGACTGTGGTGTTATAAAGCCAAGATGCCATTGGGTAAAAAGTCCTTTCAGACTGTTACATCATGTCAGCCAGAAGCTTGCTGGAAGTTGGCGACAGAGCTTCTGGGGGCTTCCCAGTGGGTTGGATCTGAGTTCAAATCCTGTGGGTCCGCATCACGACCTACATGTGTCTGAGAATAGTACGAATCTCCTATTCCGTCATCACTGACGTGGGGGAGATGATGATGTCATTTATGGTCTGTTTACCTGCTGGAGGTGTGGGTTCACCCCAGTAGATCTTAAGCATCGTGCAAATTCCCTGTCGGTCTTATTCACTCGTGGGCCCCCCACCCTGGAACAGTGTCTGGCACCTAGGAGGCACTCAGTAAGTCATGTTTGGCTGGTTGAATGAATGAATGAGTGCATGCATGGTCTTGGAAATACTAAAGCAGGGGCTGTGATACAGTGATGGGGTTCATGTGCCTCGGCGTGCCCGTAGGAGCTCACGCTCTCCTCTCTCTTGCAGAACTCGGGTCAAGCTGGAAAGCCTGGAAGATGCATACATTCTTCGGGGAGATGATGACTCCCTCTCTGACAAGCACGGCTGCCCTGCTTACGTGAGCCCAGAGATCTTGAACACCAGTGGCAGCTACTCAGGCAAAGCAGCTGATGTGTGGAGCCTGGGAGTGATGCTCTACACCATGTTGGTGGGGCGGTACCCTTTCCATGACATTGAGCCCAGTTCCCTCTTCAGCAAGATCCGGCGTGGCCAGTTCAACATTCCAGAGACTCTGTCGCCCAAGGCCAAGTGCCTCATCCGAAGCATCCTGCGGCGGGAGCCCTCAGAGCGGCTGACCTCGCAGGAAATTCTGGACCATCCTTGGTTTTCTACAGATTTTAGCGTCTCGAATTCAGGATATGGTGCTAAGGAAGTGTCTGATCAGCTGGTGCCGGATGTCAACATGGAAGAGAACTTGGACCCTTTCTTTAACTGAGCTTGTGCCCCACAGAGACTTAGTAGGTACCAGGAGCGAGAGAGGGCAGTGGAGAGTCCTTCCAGGGGACACGTATCGCCTGGCTTGGTAGCAAGAAAGACACTGACACTCAAGTTTCTCGGTTCAAAGAAGGAGAACCTTCAAGGAGCTGACTGAACATGTAGCATGGGGGCGAGAGATGCGGGGTGGGAGTCTGGGGTTGGTTCAGCAGGGCAGGTGCCCCTGGAGCTTCTCTTCCCTGACATAGCCCCCTGGAGACCACCCCCATCAGTTGGGCTGCTTCTGCCTACCCCACTTTTCATTTGTCCCAAAATAGTTGCAGATCCCGACAGAATCAAAACTCTCTGCCTCAAACACACATCTTGGCATCGCACTGTTAGCTTTTAACTTCTTGTCACGATTCAGGGAAGGTACAATTGGCCAAGGATTTTTTTTTTTTTTTTTTTAAAAAAAACACCCCCCTATTATTAATGGGGTTTAATAAAAAAAAAAAAAAAAAAAAATTCGGTGCACACAGACTGACCAGAAACCTGGGTGCTAAGCTAAAAGAAAATAGAAGTCCAGTTTGTGTCTCCTTAATTGCTCTTTTCAACTCATTTCTTCTAAATAAACTATTTAATATCCTGGTCAGGAAATAACATGTTGATGCTTTGCTCCCTGAAGGGGAAAAAAAAAAAATCTGTCCTTTAACAAGCTATTCTGTTCTGTGTCCATGGGTTTGTGACAGGAAGCTATTAGAAGTCAAACTTCTAGATGCATTAACTGCTATCGTAGTTTAAAGAAACAAAAGAAAAAAAAAGGAAGGGAAAGGAAAAGAGAAATTCACTCCCGAATTTTTTTTCCTTCGAACGATGAGGGCTGCCTCATTGGGGGTCCTCTCTGCTGGGATGGGGGCAACGGGGTGAGATCATGGGAGGTGCTTGGAGTCTGAAGCTTTTCCGACACTCTGGTCTCAGCTACACCTTTTGTCTTTGTTTTATTGGAAACTGGTGAAACCAAGCAGGTTGTCCCACATGTATGAAATACAGGGCAGCTATTTCCTTTTCTTTAGGAAGAATGATCCTTTTGGCTTGGAAGGCCCTCTGGTTTGGACAAAAACCCTCGGTAGAGACAAGCGGCAAGAAAAATCAGCTGGAAGCTAGGATGATATAAATAAAAACAGCTCTCTCTTATCCCAATACGCACCTTTGTATTTTCAAGAATTCTTCTATTTATTAAGGAAAATGTCACATTGTGATGTATTAAGCCAGTACTTCAATTACGGGTTGACTTGGGATGACATGTTACATGCTGTAGTTAACATCTATATATTTTTTCTTGTTTGAGTATTTCTGTCCCTGAAATAACCTTTTGTTTGGCTTTTCTAGATAGCTTTATTTGATTTCGAGTGGCAAATGTTTGTTTTTGTTTTTGTTTTTGTTTTTTATTATGGCTTTTCTATTTGCTGTATGATACAGAACTCTTTTGGCATAAATATTTGTGTTTCCAGTACCTCAGTTGTTTGGATTTTACTGCCTGTATGCGTTTTGTGAAATGGTCATGTTTTTGGGTAGGTAACACGTGGACTCTAGTATGTAAATGTTACTTGAATCTGTGCTTCATTATAGTATGTGGCATGTGTGTGCAGATCTTGGATGCTTTATGCCTGCTCAGCAGGAGCCCGGCCTTCACGTTCCCAGGAGGGCGGCTTAACCGTTCATAGTCAGGAGACAAGGCGGCCATGGATTTGCCCTTGATTCTATTTTGATAATGGAAGATACAAAGGAGAGAGTTTTTTGGTTTTGGGTTTTTTTGTTTGTTGTTTGTTGTTTTTTTGTTTTTTGTTATACATTCTGAAGATGGTGCTGTGTCAAGAAGGACCCGTTTTTTCTTCCCCGGCCCCTATCTTTTCAGTACCCCGTAGGAGGAAAGATTGGTGATGTGCATGGTGGGAATCTATGGCCTCTGGTGCTTTGTCCTGTATTTGGTTTAATGTTTTTGTCCTAATCTCTTCAATCAATAAAATTGTGCGTATTTAACTAAAATGTTGAGATCCTGCAAATGCTGAGTCTCTCCCATCTGTGGTTTGTGGCCACCACGCACCAGCCAGGAACTCCTATGTCCTCCCGGGGGTTCATTCTTTTAGCGTGAGCCACCACGACCGCTAATACAAAGCAAAAGCTAGCTTCCATCATGTGTGGGCATATGCTGGCCAATTTAGAGGTAATATCTCACAGTGAATTAATCGTCACTACCACATGAGGAGGTGTGAATTATGTTCCTATCACAGATCAGGAAGTAAGCCCAGAAAGGTGCATCACTTGCCTGGGGTTAAGCCACCTGTAAGCGATGGAGTCAGGCATGGACCCCCATCTGTTAAATCCTGAAGCTCGTTTTGCTTTCTATGATGTTAGAGCCCAGAGGCTTTCAGGGCAAGTATGCTAGTAGCTCTGGAGTAGCCAGGCTCACCTGGACTCAAATCATCCAGGCTTCCACACGATTCCTTAGGAAAAGGAAAGCATCTGCTGCAGACCCCATTGGAAACCTCCAAGGAGGAGACCACTGAACTCCCAGAAACTAATGTCTACCGAGCAGCCCTTCCCCCAGTCCGATGCACAGATTGTCAAACTTGTGGGCTTCGTGGGCAATGCCATCTCTCTTGTACCTCATTTACTAGAAGTAACTACAGCCCAGAGGGTCAATTTGATCCTGGAACGTCTACTGCGTGCCTCCCCTGTCATTTCAGTGCAGGCTGGGGACGGGACATGAAAGCAGGCAAAGGCGGTGGGCAGAACGGAGTGGTGGGTCAACATAGATCCATGGAAACCCCTAAGTCTAAACTTGTCAGCAGGTGTCCTGGAAGGGGTGGCAGCTGAATTAGAGTCCAGCAAGAAGTGGTTTTGGGTAATGATGGAAGACAAACAGCAGTAGCACTAAGCAGGGGAACTGTGAGTTGAGAACTTTCTGGAGACCCGCCCAAGTGAGCACCACTAGGGCCAACCTGTGGCTAGATCTCCTGAGAGTCCTTGGGAAGGCTGGGGTTTGTGGCATCCGGGAGGACGTGGCTGAAGGGGAGGCTTTCCAGCCAGTCGGACCCATCTTCTAAATTCACAAAGCGTTTGTCACCCCGCAGTGTCACTTCTGTGTCTGTTCCCAGCAGCACCTGACCCAGCGCCTGGCCCATGGGAGGTGTTCAGTCAACAAGTGTAAATCGGTGTATAATTCGTGTGGGTACTCTGTATGCTGCTAAATGTCCTCCCAACCCCAGGTTTCTAAGAGGCACATCATTAGAAAACAGGCTTTGCAAGTATTGAAGCCCACTGGTGGCTTTTGCTAGGGCTTTTGCACAGATAGGCTGATCCAATTTCTTTGCTCTTTCACTGCCTGTGTTAAGCAGAAATGGGCCTGCTGCCTAATGGATGCCTGTTTGAATTGGATTCCGTCAAACCTTCGCATGTGCGGCGGCTAGGGGGAGGGGGTGTTGGCACACACACTCCCAGCCTTTATATATTGAGCTTCCACCTTGGTGGGAACCCAGCGCCAGCAGGCTCTCTCCCTCTTCACATCTCAAGGCTTTGCCAGCAGAAATCTTTTTATTTTTTCATCCTTTTGGGCACTGGTTCTTCACCCCCTTGCTATCTAATCTGGACCTGGGTCAGGGCAAGGGGCCTGGGCCGCTGGGAGTGAGGGCAGCGGTTAGGGAAGTGGTAGGCCAGAGCTCTGAAGCTTTACTATAGTTGTGACTGGGAAAATCACTTAACTTTTATAAGGACCAAGGGTGTTGTGAAGATGAAACTGACTTAGGGTATGACAAGGGAGTGTCTTGTGCTTGGCTGGGTTAGAGACTGTTCCTATTATCAGCCAAGAGCATGACGCGGTGCAGTTCTTTTGACTGGGGGGTGCTACTGGAGTTGAGGATTATCAAGCTTTATCAAGGCCATCAAGGAGAGGTGACAGGGGCCCACTGAGACTCTTCCCATGCAACAGTGAAAGTAGTTGCACTCCCAAGTGTAGTTCTGATGTACACTTATAGGCAGGAAGATGAGGTTTCTGCCGCAAGATAGGTTTGAAAACTATCGAACAAGTCCAACTATTGATAAAGAGTTGACAAAGGAACTTTGATAAAGCATCCAAGGTCCAGAGAAATCAAAGGCATCTCTAGAATGACCCAGAAAGTAGGTATCGGACTTCAAACTGGAGGACCAAAGTGTGCAAGAGCTTTGTCGGTGGGTGGCCTTAAATGAACATCAGGGGATTTGTCATTCACCTGACTTCTCTCACTGTGATCTTAGGTTCTTTCCCCAGTGGCCCTTGTCCTTGACCCAGCCCGTTCTCTCGGTGACTAGCTCAGTGACTGATCTTTAAGTCTTTAATAGGGTGTCAGATGATAATCTGCCATAATTACGTATTATATATAGGTAGCTCAATACACAGGTACACAAGGGCCAGGTAGCTCAATTTTGGAGATGGGTCACCCACAGGTGACCCCCGCCGGGTCTGTGTAATTTCTGTGCATCTTGAGTCTCTCTCTCTATATGTTGTCACGTCAGGAAACCAAACTTTGAAACAAACACCTGGCCAGAAAAAAATGAAGGGAAGGAGGAAATAGGAGTCAACATTTCCTATTTAATCGACTGATAAGCCTTTCAAGGTAGGAGGCAAGATTCACAAATGAGTAGTGAGCCTCCAAGAGATTAAATTAATTGAAGGATGCCATCCAGGTAGTTAATGCTGAATCCTGTGTTTGAATCCTGGTTTTATAGTCTATAAAGCCATTCCACGCTGCCAGAAGGAAACACTGCGTCTCAGCACAGAGATCTAAATACTAAAACTGGGGAAGCTGAGACTAGCCCTCCCCCATTCCCAAACCCTGCAGAGAATGTTTCCTGCAGCTCCCAGAGGTGTGGGACTGGAGACGAACTGAGGGAATCATATTGAGGCTAAATGAAGGTTTTGCCTTTTCCTGAAGTGAATCACAACTCAACCGGATTTGGACGGCAGCTTTTGCGCACCTGAATTTCCTTCCTTCCCCGAAGAGAAACTTCTCTTCATCCAGACCGTTGAAGCTTTTAAAGCATGGGCATGTAGGTTTAACGAAAAGACAGCAGGGTTTGGAGAGATGGTTTCAGTTCGCATGCCCGTCTCCCGCACGATCTGTGGCAAGTCACTTCCATTGTTAGAGTCTCAGCTGCTTCGTGTGTGAAATAGGAACAAAGGGTTATTGTGGGGGTAACTAGTTTCTTGTTATTTTACATGCTATGTAGACTGTAAAGTAGTCTACACATGCTTTTACGAGGTTAGATGGCCCAAGCCATGTTACATCTTTTAGGTACTAAAATTAAAATTCTAAGTTGGATGCAAGGGTGGGGGCCAAACAGAACTCCACGAAGTGGGGAAGCAGCCCTGGGCACAGCCCCAGGCTCCCCTTCCCAAGGTGCCGCTGCTACACCAATGAGACAATTCCTCCAACACCCACTCTGAGCTCCTGGTCTAGGAGCCCAGGCTCTGAGACCGCTGCAGAAGCTAAGTAATAGGTAGCAACTCAGGGAGGGCCCCCAAAGAAAGGATCTTGGGCCATCAGGCTGATCCTCCCCAGCTATATTGTTTCTGACTTTAACCTCACAAATCCTTAGCCCAGGACATGCTTGCAAGAACCTCCCAACCCTTCTTCATTTATCCGTGGTGAATTCTCAACACGTTACCTCTACCTGGAAGCCTAGGAGACATTGTACTTTCTTTTAAGTAGCCGATGAAAAATTGGGCCATATATAGTTTTGAAGATGGTGTCCTGAAACATCAGATCTTTAAAAACTTTGGTGAAGGGGCATTGAACCTTCAGGTTTATTTCCCATCCTTTAGTTAGAGGCATCTTATGAAGGCTAGCCAACCATTGCTCCTCCTTCCTGACTGTAGAATGTTAACAGTGGAAAGGCTGAAGGCGATGCTCTCCAGACAATGCTGTGAAAAAAAAAAAAAAAAAAAAAAACAGTAGCATTAGCATAGCTCCGGGCAAACTGGTGAATGTATATTGTTTTCCCTTCCATGTCAGTGCAAACTGCTTTTTTTATTTATGAGCCACCATGAAACATAGTCTTCTGGTGGATCTCCTGGCTTCACATAACACACCTGTTCCAGCATGTTTTCTTCCATGCAGCTTCAATCCCTTTCTCTACTGTTTTCCTTAGTAATTTGGGCATTTTAACTCCATTCGGTGTTGGCCTTTGCTTTCTCCAGGGTTCTAGGAACACTCACCCTAATAGCATGTTTGCATCATCCCCAGGACCCTTGCTGGGATGGTGTAGGAGCTTTCTATTGCTGCTGCAACACAGTGTCACGAACTCAATGGCCTAAAATAATGTAAATCTGTTATGTTATAGTTTTTTTTAAGGTTCATTTATTATTTTTAGTAATCTTTACACCCAACATGGGGCTTGAAGCTGTGACCCCGAGATCAAGCGTCAAGTGCTCTTCCAACCGAGCCAGTCAGGCCCCCCATTATGTTATAGTTCTATAGGTTCATCAAACACATAGGACTCACTGGATCAAAATTAAGGCATCAGCAGGGCTGCCTTCTTTTCTGCAGGCTCTGGGGGAGAATCCATGCTTGCCTTTTCCAGCTTTCAGAGGCCACCCGCTTTCCTTGGTTTGTAGCTCCTCTCCTCCTCCAGCAACATGCCATCCCTCTGATTCTGCTTTCAGTGTCATGTGTCTTCCTCTGACCCTCTTTTGCCTTCCTCTTTCTCTTTTAAGGACCTACCTAATTAAGTATTAATTCCTTCTGCAACCCGGTTGCAAGTAAACTGACATATTGAAAGGTTCCAGGGATTAGGACCGGGACATCTTCTGGGGCTGGTAAATATTCTGCCTCCTGCAGGTAGTAAACCTTATACCCAAGAAGAGTATCCCCAGGTTAACAGACTCCCCCTTACCTTACCTAGTTTTATGTTCTAGTCCCCTTGATCAAGAATCGCTAAACTCTGGGACCATAAACGCCCACTGGTCCCCTAATACATGCTGGCCAGTAAGTATAGCTATTTTGGGGTGT